TTTGCGCACCCTCTCTCTCTCTCTCTCACAAAAACGACTCTCTCTCTCTCTCTCTCCCTCTCTCTCTTGCTTGCTTGCTTGCGCGCGTATTCTCGAGAGGAGGGAGCTTTAGTAAGAGGAGGAAGAAGACGAAGAAGAAGAAGAAGAAGAAGAAAAAAATGATCTCTCTCTCTCTCTCTCTCTCTCTCTCTCTCGTAGGAAGTACTAATTTTTAGCAAGATGATGAAGAAGAAGAAGAAGAAGAAGAAGAAGAAGAGGACGCGCCACTTACCTGGGCGGCGGGCGCTGCGCCACGGCCACGACCATGGACGGGGACGGGTGGGAGGACGGCGACGGGCGCTGCGCCACGGCGACGGGCAGGAGGAAGGTGACGGGCGGGAGGCCGACGACGGGCGGGTGACGGGTGGGAGGCCGACGACGGGCGGGAAATCGGAGGAGAACTGCCCTCCCTCCAAGATTCAAAAACGGCGGCCTCGTCTGGGCCGCCGATCTTCCTTGATACAGCGGTCCAGAGAGGCCGCCGTTTGCAATGTTCGTGGCCTCCCAAAAGAAGTCCGGTTCGAATTTTTTATTGGCCAGGAGGCCCCCACAACCCGTGGGGAGGCCTCCTGGCCCATTAAAAATTCGAACCGGCCTTTTTTTGGGAATGCGCTATAGCCTACCGGGGGCCAACCGGGCCGGTCGACCGGCCGGTCCCACCGGCCCGGTTCCGGTTGGGGGTGGACCCCCCGGTAGGACCGGGTATTTAGCACTGATAAAAATTAAAATAAAAAAAACAATTTTGATTTTGTTTTAATTTTTAATTTTTTTATTTCTTTTTGGCCCGGCCGAGCAAGTGGACCCGGGCCACTCCGGTAGCCTAGATTCTTACTGTATAGTTGTAGTATATTATTTTGACTATTTTTATTCTTGATTATTGTATTTATTTTGTTTATTGTTGCTTGATTTGATTCATTTTTTCTCTTTTGAAACGGTATTCACCAGTTCGCAGTAGCTGATGCAAATCCCAGGGCTCGATCCCTTACCTGTGCACAGTACCTGTGTCGACCCTTAGAGTTGAACCCGTGACCTGTGTATTTGTAACAGTGGTAGACTGTCGTAGGGTCCAGAGGTCGCCGGGGTTCAATCTGTAGACCTGTCGAGTAGGAGTCTTAGTCAGGTCTAGAAGTCGTAGCTGTAGCTTTCCCGTAAGGTCAAGGTCGTAGCTGCTACAGTCTAGAAGGGTCAAAGTCGTAGCTGCTACAGTCAAGAAAGGCCAAGTCTATGGCCTTTCGGAAGGTCCCAGTAGTGGCCTTTCGAAGTTGCCCACGTTTAGACTGAGGCAAGTGGGCAAGTGGCGAGGCAAGTGGTCAAGTGGTGGAGTCTACCCGTGCTGAGTCAGCAGTCTAGTCCCCAGTTGGCAAGTACCGCATGGGACTGTGTGCACTTCGGGCATGGGAAAGGGCCAGACCAACGAGCTGCAGAAGTATAAATCAGGAGGCAGCGCCCAGCCATTCATTCATTCCTGCGTGAGCCATGCGGAAGTGCTGCCACAGCGACTTGTGCAAGGAGGTCTGCAGTGAGCCCGAAGACGAAGTGGACAGAGAGACGAAGCTTAGCCATAGCGATAGGCGGCGGCCATAGCCGCCATAGCTGTAGTTAGAGTTCAGCGTGTGTGTGTGTGTGTTCAGAGAGTCGCGTGTGGGATATCGAGGGTGATCCACTGCATGCGAACAGAGAATTGTATGGGCGCTGTGTCGCCATAACCATTGAAAGTGAACTTGTATTTGGGTGACCATATCTCTGAGTATTGAGTGGGCGCATGTCGCCAGTTCGCTGCGCTGCTGTTTGCATGCATGTAAAGTGTGAACGAAAGCGAGTCTGATTGCATTGGTATCGGAGCAGGTACCCGCTATTCCACGCGCCGCGTTGTGCGTCGCAGGGAGATGCTGCGCCATAGCTGAGGTGGCCGCCGAGAGGAGAAGTCTGCCATAGCGGACCTGGAGGTCGAAGAAGCTGCCGCGCACACCTGCAGAGAAGACCACGACGAAGAAGAAGACAGAGAGAGAAAGAGAGAGAGAGAGGAAAGTGAAAGGTTGAGCGATACAGGATTGGCTTACCACGTACCTGCGTCGAAGACATCGCTACGACGAGAAGGGAGAGAGAGAGAGGGAGAGGAGAGAGATGAGCGATACAAGTTTGGTTGTCACTTACTTGTGAAGTGCGCCGTGCAGTCCCACGAGGAGGAAGGAAGCTGCCATAGCCGCGGGCCACGGAGTAACGAAGAGGGAGAGAGAGAGGACAAAGGAGGGGACCAAGGAGGGTGAAGGAAGCCATAGCTGAGGATGTAAGGGAGAGACGAAAAAAAAAAAAAAAAAAAGAGAGAGAGAAAGAAGACAGTCAGGGTGAAGAAGAAAGAGGCGAGGTGAAGAGAAGGAAGGAGAAGTCGACCGCCATAGCTGACCGAAGGAGTTGACCGGAGGTGTTGACCGGGCGCTGACCGGAGTTGACCGGGGGTTGACCGAGGGTTGACTGCAGCGTTGACTGCAGCGTTGACTGCAGCGTTGACCAAGACTGTTGACCACGAGTTTGACCAAGCTGGAGCTGGTATATTCTCACCAAGCCTTCAGTCTGTCCCCTCGCCCTATGGATGTGCACACACCCTGTTGTACTTGCTGAGTCAAGTCTGTCTGTCTCTTCTTTCTGCATCGAGTCTCTTCTGTTCAGGTGTAGGAACTCTGTGGATGAAGGATAGGGCCTTGTTGACCAAACCCCTGCCAGGCTGAGTAGTTCTAAAGACTGTGTCTGACGACTCGACTGTCCCGGAGGACACGAACCCTCCCAAGGACCGGTACTGACCGGCGGGCTGCTCGGTGTGGCACGGTAGGCTCGAAATCTGAGCTGTGGGCTGCACGACGGGCCGTCTAAGTCTTGAGAAGGCCTGCTGATCGCGTCATCCTGTCTGCGATGTTAAACAATTCCTGAGGAGTTACGGGGGATCTCCTTAAATGCCTCCTGATCAGCAATAGGTCTTGTAGTGACAGCCTTAGAGTAGGTCTAGGCTAGAGACCTTAGTTTACAGGATCCCTGTCCGGATTCTGTGAGTCTCTAGATTGAGTTAGTAAGTTTGTCGGTCAGGGGTTAGAGTCTAAGTGGTGAGGTTTGGAACCGTTGACCCGGTTGTACACTTATCACCATGGTTGACGCCTGTAGTGGGAAGAGTACTAGCCCCTATACTCCGGCTCAACAAGAGCAGATGGCCGCCCTAGTGAGAGAGAATAAGGAAAGGAGAGAGCTCCTGAAGCAGGCGAAGTTAAAAGCGATCGCAGAGGAGCAAGCGGCGAAAAGGAAAAAGTTGGAGGAGGAGATGATGAGGGTTGAGCAGGAGGAGGAAGAAAGAAGAAAGGCTGCTGAAGAGGAAGCAGCAGCAGCAGAAGAAGAGGAAGAACGCCTTGAAAGAAGACGTAGGGAAGAAAGAGGGGAGAGCAGTGGCACGACAGAGGAAGATGCAAAATTGGAGAAGAAGATCAGTGAGTGGGTGGAAAATTTGTCTTTGGGAGAAGATGAGGAGGCGCAGCTGTATGTGCCACATGAGGAGAAGGAGGCGTTTGCCAGGGCTTTGGAAATGATAGATGAGCCCCTGGAACGCCAAGAGACAGAAGATGAGAAAAAGTTGGAGTGGAAGCTGCGCATGAAAAGGGAGAAGAAGAGAAGGAGGGAGGAAGCTGCCCGATTGGCCGCAAAAGTGGAGAAAGTACAAGGGTGTAGACAAGAGGTGCAGGCCCAAGCGGAAGTACCCGCGAAATTAGACAAGATCTTAGGGTACCTGGAGGTACTAAGCGAGGCGTGGTTGGAGGAACGCCAAAGCAACAGGGGTCACGATGTGGCCCTGCAGGCCATGCGGGCCGGCTTTAGAGAGTTTGCGCGCGACGTGGTGACCCACGTCGGGGCCGAAGTGAAAGGATTAAAAGAGGGCGTAAGGAAGTTTTGTGAGGGCGCCATTGAGGGCGCCAAGGTAGTAGCCACCGCTGAGAGTGAGTCTAGACCCCGCAGGGAACCAGTCAAGCTGAAGTTCGCAGATGCCTATGGCGGGAAGTCTGACGGGAGGCAAGTGTCAATACATATATTCACCTACATTTGATTGCACAGGATGACCAGGTCCTGGTAGCCTTCCAGGCCTTCAAGGATGAGGCGGCTAGCTTCGCTAGGTCTCTCGTGCGCGCGGCCGGTTGTGAAAACAACATGGTCGTTTATTCCAAAGTCACCCCCCTCTCTCAATTCCTCAAGCTCCTAAGGGAGCGATTTGCTCATCTGAGAAGAGGCGTTAGAGCCTCTGATAAACTTCTCCCCATCCACTCACGATAGTGGAAGAGTGCAAGGGCACTCAAAGCTGTCATGGACGACCTGGTGGCCGTCCCGGACCATGGGGTTACTGAGTCCCAACTGGTCCAACTCTTCTATCGTGCCATGCCAGAGCCCTTACAAGGGCACTTCTTTGACAAGTCCCAACAACCCACTATGACGTATGATGCGCTGATTAGAGAAGTGGTGCTGTTCGAGGCAAAGTCCATGCCTGTTTCCACTTTCTGGCATAAGGACTTAGACAAGGGTAAAAAGTGGAAAGGTCGTACCATCTCTGGCCAAGTCAGGGCCAAGGATCACATGATCCTTACATTGGAGGAAGGTGGTACTGATGAGGTCCCCTACAGCCAGATTGAGTGGGGACTTGAGGAGGAGGACAACAGTGTAGGACAGGGGAGGTCTTATGCTGTTGTAGCGGCTGGAGGGAGGCTGCAGGGCAGAGGAGGCCAGGGCCGAAGGGGCCAGGCCACGGGAGGCCGAGGATCGGGCGCACAAGGGGTTGGCGGCCCAAAGAGCCATCAAGAGGGAGGTAGGGGTCAAGGTCCCCCGCCGAATCGTCAAGGTCCCCCGCCGAATCGTCAAGGTCCTAGTCGGTCTCCACAGCGACGAGGTGGAGGGTCACCTCAGAGGAGAGGAGGATGGCACCCAGGCTGGCCCCAGGGACGGCCTTGGGAGGATCTGGGCCTGGACCAGAAAGTATGGCAGCAACGAATGGAGCAGGGGCAGTGCATTTACTGCGGTGACCCTGCCCATATCATTAAATATTGTCCTAAATACAGACAGGCTCGGTGGGCTGCCCAGGAGTCAAAAGGCAGCCGCCGGTAGGGGTTGCAACTGCCCCTATTTCTAAAGCATGTGGGAAAGCGAGCGCGCGCACAGAGGAAACTCCCACACCACATGAGCCTTCGACAGAGATTGCAGGTCAGTGCCTAGTTAGTTGTCCAGAGACTGCTTGTGTTAGCGTCTCTCTAGGCACTTCCCTCACAGACTTGGCAGAAGAATTGAAAGAGAGAATGCCTGCCTGGGCCAAAATGAAGAAAGCAGCGAGTGTTGGTGGATGTAGAAGTGTTCAGGAGTAGAGACGGGCCCTTATAGACTCAGGGGCTACCCATAGTTACATTAGCCGTAGAGCGCTGAAAAAGCTAAGGCTAGGATTAAAAGTCCAGAAATTGAAAGACCCCATAATCAGTGTCCTCGCAGACAATAGTACAATGCGAGTTGAGGACTACGTAGAGGGAGTCTAGGCGTATTTTCGCCTAGAGAAAGATGGGAAGGTAAAGAGAGTTATCCATTCCCTGACTCTCCTAGTACAGGATAACCTTCCGTTTGATATAGTCCCAGGTATGGACTGGGGAGAGGCAGCCGGGGCCACACTCCACTTGAGAGAGCATGAGTGTAGGCTCCCTAGTCCGCCAGGCGAGGTTAAGACAACCCGTCTGTTCCATGTGTCAGGAGTAGACAACTTGCTGGTACATTGCTGTCTCAGTGCTCCCGCGTTCGCGTGACTAGTAAAGGAGCAGTTAGAGGATCAGGTCTTCGTAGTGTATGTTAGACCTTCCACTGAGCCCAAGGAAACGGATAGTTCCACGGATCCAGCAATTGCCAAGCTGCTGGAAGAGTTTAAAGATCTCTCAGAGCCGTCGACAGGAATAGTGTCGCGACCAATCCAGCACGAGATAGAGATAGAGCCTGACAGCAGAACTCCTAAGGGAGCAATCTACAGGATGTCCCCTAGAGAGTTAGAGGAGCTGCGCAAGTAGTTAGACGAGCTCCTTGAGAAAGGTTGGATAAGGCCCAGTTCGTCTCCTTTTGGAGCACCAGTATTGTTCGTCACCAAAAAGGAAGGAGAGCTGAGAATGTGTATAGACTACAGGGGTCTGAATGCGATTATAGTTAAAAATGTTGAACCACTGCCCAGGATAGACGATCTCTTAGATCAGGTGCAGGGTTGTAAGTATTTTTCAAAAATAGATTTGAAGTCCAGCTACCATCATGAGGTCCATCCTGATGACCAGTACAAGACTGCGTTCCAGACTCGTTATGGGCATTGTGAGTTCATAGTGATGCCCTTTGGACTGACCAATGCGCCAGCTACATTTCAGCGTTGTATGAACGATCTGTTCAGGCCTTGGTTAGATAGATTCGTCTAGTATATCTAGACGATATCTTAGTATTCAGTAGGGCCCTCCAGGAGCACCAGGGTCATTTGAGGCAGGTCTTGGAGAAGCTGAGGGAAGCTAACTTCAAGATCAATGCGAAGAAGTGCGAGTGGGCCAAGACGCAAGTTCGTTACTTGGGCCACGTGTTAGACGGAGATGGCATTAAGCCAGAGGACAGCAAGATAGCGGCAATTCGAGACTGGCCGACGCCCCGCACGTTGACAGAGTTGCGGTCGTTTCTAGGCCTAGCTAACTACTATAGGAAGTTCGTGAGGAACTTCTCTACTATCGCCGCTCCCTTGCGCAGGTCGCTCAAGAAAGAGGCAATCTGGCAGTGGGATAAAGATTGTACGTCTGCGCTAAAGAAGTTAAAGCACGCGTTAATAGAGTATCCTGTCCTCAAAGTAGCAAATCCGTCTTTGCCATTTTTCGTCACCACGGACGCGAGTCAGTATGGTATTGGCGCCGTGTCACAGCAGGACGACGACAATGGGTACAGACCCGTAGAGTTCATGTCAGCGAGGATGCCCTCAGAGAAGGTTGCTACCTCGACGTATGAGAGGGAACTCTACGCTCTCAGACAGACTTTAGAGCATTGGAAACATTACCTGCTTGGGAGGCACTTCAAGGTGTACTCCGACCATGAGACTCTTAGATGGTTGAAGACACAGGCCAAGATGACACCTAAGTTGACTAGGTGGGCCGCTGAGATAGACCAGTATGACTTCGAGCTCAAGCCAGTGAAGGGAAAATACAATGTAGTAGCGGATGCTCTAAGTAGGAGGTCAGATGTTACATACTTCAATGAGTATGGCAGAACCAAAGATCAACCAATATAGGATGAGCATTTATGCAGCGGAAGTCTGATAACGAACTGACTCACTTTACTGACTCACACCAAGTGACTTACATGGCATCACTCCACACACATACAATCATGAGATGGTGGGGTTTGGGTCATTCATAGACGATACCCAGATCCCGTACACACATACACAGATGAAAGGTGGGAGGAGAGACGAAGGAGGTAGGAGGTAGATCACACCGATAGGTCACAAAGATAGAGTCTGATAGGTCTCCGAAWTGGTAGTCCAGAATGTCATATAACAAGATCAAAATGTCGAGGACCAAAGGTCACCAATGTCGGAGATAACATAGTCCAGATGTAACCGGTGTCCAACTGTGATGCAGCCGAGTATCAACCTCAACAATCTCCAAGTCTCCAATCAGGTAAGTACCACAGTCTCGTATCACCGAAATCCAACTCTGATCTCTGTCCAACTGGATAGTCTCCAATCTGAAGAAGAAGAAGAAGAAGGAGAAGGAGGAAGAGGAGAGAGAGAGAGAGGGGACTGGCGAGGGAGAGGAGGAGAGACCCTCCAAGCTCCCGATACCTCAGGCGGTAATAACCGCCGTGCAAGCTCAGTCGCCCGCTGCTGCTCCGCTCGCTGCTGCGCTATGCTGCACTCCTGCTTCAGCCCCTGCGCTAAGTTTAGCGCATCAAACAATGCACTAGCACTGACCATGCCGTGCCGGTAGAGTTCCGGTAGGCCGATCCCTCAACTGAGGCGGATACCGGTACTTATACCGGTGGGCAATGGTCTGGCCTCAATGCTGCGAGGCCAGGCCAGACCCTGAACCGTCCAGATGGACGGTTCAGCCTCAATCGGCGGGCGGCAGCTTCAAGTGCGCCGCCAGGCCCAAACGAAGTGTCGTTTGGGCCTACCCGATGGGTGATAGTCCAAAAGTAAACCCCAAAGTCGGGCCTTTAGGCCCTGGTGTGTCCCTCCGGCCCTAAGTCGGGTCCGGTAGGACCCGTGTGAGTCGAAGATGTAACATCAGACTACTTTGGAGCTATAGTTCACTATCTGGACATAGGGAGTGACCTGCAAGAGAAAGTTAGACAGGCGTATGCGCAGGACCCTATCTATAGCGACCTCCTCAAGAAGGTTAAGGAGGCCCCAGAGACTGAGCCAGATTACTGCACTACAGAGGGGTTACTATTTGAGAAGACTAATGTAGTAGACCGCCTATGCGTTCCCAACAGTGAGGAGATCCGCAGTCTGATCCTAGGGGAATGCCACGATACAGAGGGACATTTCGGTTGGCGAAAGACTTTAGCCAATCTGATGTACGTGTACACTTGGCTAGGAATGTAGAACGACTGCATAGAGTATGTCCGCGGTTGTAAAGTCTGTCAGAGGAACAAGACTACTACGCGTGCCCCTCTAGGTCTTCTCAGACCCTTGCCCATTCCAGACCAGCTTGGAGATTCAGTCTCCATTGACTTCATGGATGGCGGCGTTAAGAGTAGACACGGCAAGAGCCAAGTCATGGTCGTAGTTGATAGATTTAGCAAGTATGCTATTTTTTGTTTCGTTGCCTGCAGAGGCACGCACCGAGTTAGTAATACAAAAGTTCTTTGATTTCTGGATAAGTGAGCATGGAGTCCCGTTGTCCATAGTTAGCGATAGAGATAGTCGCTTCACCAGACAGAACTGGCAGGAACTCATGAGAGTCTATGGGTCAAAGTTGCTGATGTCATCTGGCCGCCATCCAGAGACTAACGGTCAGATAGACCAGATGAACAAAATCCTGCAGCAAGTTCTGCGCATGTACATTATACCAGACCAGATTAACTGGGACGAGATGTTACCCAAGGTAGCCAGCGCATACAATAAGAGCGTACATTTGTCTACCTGTCACACTCCCAACGAGTTACATGAGTCCTTTAGACCACGTAGACCGTTTGAAGGACTGAACCGGGATCAGGTTCACAGGCTACCGCCCGGTACCAGGGAGTTCGCGATACAGCATGAGAGAGAGATAGCCACTGTTGTTGAAAACCTCAGGAAGGCCCAACACCGGATGATAGAGCAGGCTAATAAGCACCGTCGCCCATCACAGTTTCAGGTAGGTGACCTGGTCTGGGCCAAGTCTAAAGAGTTTGCACATGAGGAGAACATCTCGCAGAAGTTATTGCCCGCTTATAGAGGACCGTGGCCAGTTCTAGAAGTTAAGGGTGAAGAGGGTGGGCCGTCCTATACTATAGAGATCCCAGCACACCTCCACACCTACCCTGTGTTTCACGCATCAAAGTTGCTGCCGTGTGTCACCAGTCAACAGTTTCCATCTAGCCGGTCCATGATCCCTCTAGACATGGACGGAAGATATGACATTGACGGCATTGTAGGTGAAGATGTATTCAGAACAGGAGGTGGAGGTCGTCCACAGAAACAGTATAAGGTCCTGTTTGCTTACCAGGAGCCGGAGGATGACCGCTGGTTCACTAGAGCAGAACTTCTAGAGACAGCTCCCGATATAGTTAGAGCCTACGAAAGAGATCAGAGAGGTAAAGGTCCTGCCTTGGACTGAGTTATTCTCGGAGGACCTCAAATTTAGGCCGGCGGGAGTGAAACGGTATTCACCAGTTCGCAGTAGCTGATGCAGATCCCAGGGCTCGATCCCTAGCCCCCCAGCTTACCTGTGTACAGTACCTGTGTCGACCCTTAGAGTTGAACCCGTGACCTGTGTATTTGTAACTGTGGTAGACTGTCGTAGGGTCCAGAGGTCGCCGGGTTTCGATCTGTAGACCTGTCGAGTAGGAGTCTTAGTCAGGTCTAGAAGTCGTAGCTGTAGCTTTCCCGAAAGGTCAAGGTCGTAGCTGCTACAGTCTAGAAGGGTCAAAGTTGTAGCTGCTACAGTCACAAAAGGCCAAGTCTACAGCCTTCCGGAAGGTCCCAGTAGTGGCCTTTCGAAGTTGCCCACGTTTAGACTGAGGCAAGTGGGCAAGTGGTGAGGAAAGTGGTCAAGTGGTGGAGTCTACCCGTGCTGAGTCAGCAGTCCCAGTCCCCAGTTAGACCTGGTCCAGTCAAGCAAGTACCGCATGGGACTGTGTGCACTTCGGGCATGTGAAAGGGCCAGACCAACAAGCTGCAGAAGTATAAATCAGGAGGCAGCGCCCAGCCATTCATTCATTCCTGCGTGAGCCATGCGGAAGTGCTGCCACAGCGACTTGTGCAAGGAGGTCTGCAGTGAGCCCGAAGACGAAGTGGGCAGAGAGACGAAGCTTAGCCATAGCGATAGGGTAGCGGCGGCCATAGCCGCCATAGCTGTAGTTAGAGTTCAGCGTGTGTGTGTGTGTGAGTGTTCAGAGAGTCGCGTGTGGGATATCCAGGGTGATTCACTGTATGCGAACAGAGAGTTGTATGGGCGCTGTGTCGCCATAACCATTGAAAGTGAACTCGTATCTGGGTGACCATATCTCTGAGTATTGAGTGGGCGCATGTCGTCAGTTTGCTGCGCTGCTGTTTGCATGCATGTAAAGTGTGAACGAAAGCGCGTCTGATTGCACTTTATAATACAATAATTTAATTATTTAATGTAATAATTTATATATAAATTGCAATGAACCTCTTAGTTTAACACCAGTGAGCGCACGTATTCACACCGCATGCATGTATGAGTTCACACGAAGTTCACACTGGAGATCAGAGAGATAGAGACCAGGTAGCGCACCCTTTGAATTCCAACAAGATTCCAACAAGTTATATCAAGAGCAATAAGAGTTCAAGTCACCAGCGCTCATCAGTGCATGCCAAAGGTAGCCAGTAACCGGCGTAAACTCTCAGGTAAGTATCCCTTCCTCTCTGCTCTTCTCTCTTGTGCATCTCCTTTCCTCACTGGTCTTTTCCGTAGCTATGTCTTCGCTGTATCTTCTCTCCCTTCTGACTACATCCACTGACAACTCGACTAATCCCTCTGAAGTCTACTACTAACTGCTAACATTAACACCCTGCACTGGCGCAGCTATGGCTGCGTTCTCCCTGCCAGCGCTGTCTTCTTCCTCTCTCTCTCTCTCTCTCTCAGCGCAGCACTTTGGCTTCAGCGCTCTGCCCCTCACATCAGCGCACAAGTGCACCAGCACTTCTTCACTTCTTGCGAATGAGCAATCTGCCCGAATGGGAGGCTGGCCAGTCCTTTTGTTGTCTTGGTTTGCACTTTGCAAGGAAAATGCGCGATAGCGAACTTCAGAAACCAAGCAGCATCATACACATGAGACCAGATAGTCGTGACCTCGAACCAAAAGCAGAATTGCATCACGAGTCCCACCAAACAAGAGTACAGCAAAAGCTCATAAGTGACAACGTTTGAGTAGTCTCATCATTATGAACAAAGAACCAATGTCGACATCCTATCTGGCGCCCTGCGCCCAGACTACAAAATGGCAGATCCTATCTAGCCTATCTACAATGCCGCTGGTAACGTCAACAGCTCCCCGAAGTACGAGCAGATCTCGGCCAATGCCGTTCGCCTCAAGCACCATGTATGTCTCTCGTATCACTCACAACCTCGATCCGCCATTCACAGATGCCACGTGCACCCAAGGACCACCATGCGGCCCATCCAGCATACCGCAGCGCAGCTCGGCTATGGCTGCCTGCTCCTTCCAGCTCGCCCGTGGCGCGTGAGCGCTGGCCAGCGTTAGCGCAGCATGCAGCCAGTGCTCGAATGCCAGATGCGTGGGCAGGCACTTTCCTAAATGGAAGTGGCCTGCCTGCTTGCGTGCAGCCTGGCTGCGCTGGGCCACTGCCCAGAAGCTTCCGGTAGGCCCAAGAGAGGCTGAGCCCCAAGTCAAACAAATCAGGCCCTGGGCCTGTGGTGGTTGCCCGTGTCCAACTGCCTGCGGCCTGTGTTTGGTCCATGTTGCGAATCTGGCCCAGGGCCTGCCTCGGTTACATTCGTAAGAGGCAGCCTGGGCCTGGGCCTGGGCGCTCTCAACCAGCTGGCGCTGCGCAACTGCCTGAATTTACTCAGTTGCGTGATGACCCCAAAATAAGCCTGTAGGCCCTGGGTCTAGCCTGCCTTCACTTAGGGTGGTCGACTGTACAGAAAATAGGGTCCAGTAGGGCAGATTGAGGCCTTGAGCCTCGCATTCCCTCCTCCGTACTTCGCTAGTCCTCTGAGAAGTTCATTCAATCTGGCGCTTTCCTTTCTGCAGCAACTTCTCATAGTGGGCGACAACCTGAGGTGTGGTCTGCATCAGTTCCTCCCGTGTGAACCATCTATCCTCCTTTGGATCAGTGTGATGTCTGAACCAAACTCGGTATTACAGCTTCGGCTTCGGAGGACGTCCCCTGCCTTTCGGTCTTGGAACCGACATTTCCATGTGGTCCACGATGTCATTGATGTCGACCTCTCCATCCATGGTTGGGGGTAGCATTGAGCAACGAGTGGGAAACTGATCAGTTTCTTTGGATGGTGCAAGCTTAGAGCCTTAGAGGCGTGAAAAACAGGGTAGGTACGAAGGTGTCCAGGGACCCAAGTGACATAAGAGGGTCCGTCTGGTTCATTGCCCACTACATCCAAAACCTCCCATGGCCCAAAGTACTGTGGCATGAGCTTACGGGAGATCCTGTGCTCCTGTCCCAGTTCAGAAGCCTTCACCCAGACCCTGTCCCCTACCTGAAACATAGATGGGTGGCGGTGCTTGTTCTCAGATTCGATCATCGCCGGCTGTGCTTTGTGCATGTGTTCTGCCGCCTGCTGCATATGATTCTCATATCTATAGGCAAATTCCAAAGTGCCTGGAGCAGCAGTGGGCTGGTTCTTAGGCAGCAGGAAGTCAAGAGGGAGTCTAGGTTTGAACGTTAGTAATAGGCTGTTAGGACTTACTTCCATGGCACTATGAACTGCGTTGTTGTACAGACTGGCGATGAGAGCGAGCTTCTCATCCCAGTCCGCTTGATTAGGCTTAATATAATGCCTCAGCAAGTGTTGACCAGCACGGTTCATTTGCTCTGCCTGTCCATTTGCCTCACTGGTGAATCAGACATCCCTGTCGCTGATTATCGACTTCGGCAGGCCAAAGTCTCTAACCCAATTTTCCTTAAATAGCCTGATAACGTACTCGGTCTTTGTTGTTTCTGGCATAGCTACTAATCTAGCATACTTACTAAATCTATCCACAATGACATAGATATACCTCGTTCCACTCTTGCTGGTGACCAGCATGTCCATGAAATCCATTGACAGGCGCTGACCGGGCCTTTCCAGAATCGGGAGGGGCTCAAGAAGCCCAAGAGGGGCCTGTGTACGTGGCTTGTCTCTCTGACACACCTGACAAGTCTCCACGTACAACTTCACATCTCTCATCGTTGTGGGCCACCAGAACCGCTGCAACAAGTTTGTTGAAGTCTTCCTATATCCAAAATGTCATGTGGCATCATGACACTCACCTAAAAATAAACTACGCAAAGACTCCTGATTAGGCACACAAAGACGATTATTCCCGGCCTTCTCAAGGAACAACAAGCCATTGATCAACTCAAAACTCTTCAGACGTAGCATTATCCTTCGCCTCGAGTCCGTGTATGATCTCTGACATGAACGGGTCCTCGCGATAGGCTTCCACCAAAGACTGAGTAACATTGTCCGCAAGCCCAAATTTAGTGACCAGCGCACCGAGAAAGTCTGGCCTAGGCGACAATGCATCAGCAACCTTGTTGTACTCCTCCTTGATGTACTGGGGTTCGAAGTCATACTGCTCAATGACTTCGATCCAACGCTTCAGAGCGTCGGAGAGTACCAGTTGAGTCTTCATCCATCTCAGGGTCTGATGATTAGTCCTGGCATAGAAGAAGCGACCTAGGAGGTAGTGCCTCCAATGGGTCAGCGCTTTGTAGATCGCATAGAGCTCCTCATAGGTGGACTTAGCCAACTTTTGAGAGGGCATCTTTTTGGACATGTACTCTACTGGCCTCAACTTTTTCCCCTCCTGCTGTGCAAGGACGGCACCAATGCCATATTGGCTGGTATCCGTAGTCACAACGAAAGGTTTGTCAGGATCAGGAAGTTTAAAGACCTCATGGTGTGTTAACGCATGCTTCAGATGTCTGAAAGCAACCTCACAGTTGTCTGTCCACTCCCATGGGGTGTCAAGGCGTGTCAGGTCTGTCAAAGGGGCGACCACTATGCTATAGTTCTGAAGAAAATTGCGGTAGTAGCCTGTCATCCCTAAGAAGGACCTCATCTCAGTCACAGACTGAGGACGTGGCCAGTCACGAATGATGGCCACCTTCGCGTCATCGGGCTTCAATCCCTCCGCGGAAATCTCATGACGGGCAGGTACAAGATCCGGGTGCAGCCAAACTCACAGTTCTCCCGGTTGATCTTGAACTGGTGCTGTCTGAGGAGGCTAAGGACTTTATCTAAGTGCGCTACATGCTCCTCGACAGTCCTACTAAAGATAAGTATG